CAAGAATAACGTAATACAGTGTTTAAAACGGTTACAGGAAAATGATTTACATTAAAAAAAAAGTGCACATTTTTTTAAGAAGAAGTAACATATTTGGGTTATGTGATTAAAGCCGGTACTGTTAGAAATCACCTGACAAAGTTCTATCAGTAGTAAATGCACCTAGACCACATGATGCCAGTGTAAAACAGTTTCTTGGACTAGTAACTTATAGTAATAAGTTATTACTCTCGATTTATTCCCAGGCTAGAAGTTCGTATTTTGAATGAAATTCCAACATCAACAACCACCATTAACCTGCTGCAAGATATTTTTGCTTCAAGTGGATTTCCTCAAGTATTAGCGCCCGACAACGCAAAAATTTTTAAGAGTACTGAATTCGAGGAATTCTGCAAAATGAGTAGAATTTCACAAAATTTCATCACTCCAGGAAACCCTTCAACGAAAGGCCTAGCCGAAAGATATGTGCAAATTTTGAAGAATAAATTGAAGATAATGACCAAAGTACCAATGCCATTACATTGGAAAGTTCGTGAAAGTTAGTTTCAAATTAAGCGCGCGAGAATTGTTATAGCTTAAAAGCACGCACTCTAGGAAATCGTAAAAAGACAGTTACGCATCGCACGTTATTGTGAATAATTTGTTCATAAGTGCAGTTATAATAAAGAAACCTTGTTATGTTTTTGTGTTTTACCATCCAGAAATTATAAAAATAGCTATAGGAACATATAATATCAAAATATTCCAATTTTGATTCTGTATCTAATGCAATAGTAAGAAAATGGTCATTTCATTTGAAAAACTGAGTAGTCTTTGAAATTTCTTAAATTTTGATCTCCTCAGGTGCGGTCGTCCGCAACTTACCTTTTTTAAGTACACTAAAAGAAAGCTCTATTCTTTCTCCATGCATTGGTAAAAATGTAATCAATTATCAAGGTACCGTTTGCATCCGCCATTTTTTTTCTTAAAGTCAAAATAACTTAAAAACCATAAATGGTAGATATAGGCATGTGTATCAAAAGAACTGAAATTTCACGTGGAATCCAAAAATGTAATAAAAAATAGGAGTTGCCATTTAAAATAACGAAGTTACTAGCTACTTCCGGTATGTTAAGCATTATGCGGGGCACTCTGTAATTGGGCGCAAGCCTGTTGAGGGCCCAGAACAAAGAGGGATAATAAATAAATAAATAATGTCCGGAAGTGCGACCATTTTTTACATCGATTCGGCCTTCACAGTAACTCCTAAGTACAAATGTTGAAAAACCTACCTATTCCCAAAAAGCCCAAAAAGACCTTCTATATCTGCTTACTTTTCAATTACGTATGGTATGTAGCACACTGATATGTGTTTCATTCTTGAATTACAATCCATTCATAGCTATTCCGTAAATGTAATTATAGAACTTCCCAGAAGGTGCAATTTGTGTAACTTTTCGCATTTTTATTATCTATACGGCGGGGCGGTACAACTGTGGGCATTCGTATTGATTTAAAATGGAATAGTGTAGATAGTAATATACCCACTCGAGTTTAAAAATCAACACGCAAGAACATATTTTTCTAATGAATGGAATAATCGGATCTCTTACTACTCAAGTCACGAAAGTATCTTGTATCGATAGCGTGTTTCAGAAGAAGCATTAATTTTGGTATCGTCGAACACTATCTTTTCACACTATCGTACATCAGTTATAGTACAGACAAATTGTATCCAAATTCGTCAAATATCCAAGAAAATTGTGAAGTCTTTGTAACTTTGTATACTTATACATAAATATATTCTGTTTAAGAATTCGACGAGTCCCTAGCGTTACATAGTGTGCTCAGCCCAAAATGAAGATTTAAAAACCCTCGCGCCGCTCGCCCACCTGTCGTAACGGCTCGTTCACACAGTTGAGTTTTCCCGGATCGGATTTTTACCGTTTAGGTACATAGAACCAATAGGATGATGATCTCGCGGAATTCTTCAAGTATGAACTTGCTGCGTATCCACTTTCAGTGTTTAAAGGCACCAGCGAAATAAGGAAGACAAAAAATTCTGCTGTTTATGACGTGTTCTGCTCAAAACATATCAAAGTTGTTATTCTTGCACCGAGATCGTTGTGAAAAAGATCAAGAAAATTATCTCAATGGCCAAGACATGAATTTAATGCCTTTTTGGCGGCCATATGTATTTCCATCAAAGATTTCAAAATCGTTATTTATGCACCAAGATCGTTTGGAAAACACTAAGAGCATTATCTCAATGCCCAAGACATGAATTGATGCTTTTTGTTGACTATATGTATCTTCCAAGATAAAAATAAATGGTCGTTAAAAAAGTGATGGTAATCCTGAGGATCCTTAGATATTTCGTTGTACCGGTTTGTTTTTAATGAAAGCATGACACAATAGAAATGTTTAACAATGGACGAACATGCGTGTAGTCGGCGAGGATGTTGATCTCCTTGTTCTCTTGCCTAAAAATATAAAGATAAAGTCAGACAAAGGCAAAACTAAAAAGAAAATTTTTGCAGTAATGATACCACATAGTGTATGTTTCAGAAGCAAAAATTACCATTTTATTTTTCAAACTCTTGCAAAACAAAATGCAATTGGCTATAATGAGAACCTTCAATGACCAAAATTTCAACTCTATCAGAAGTAAGAGAAGCTGGTGAACCCCTTTTTCCCTGACTTTTTCTGGTGGTATACGGTGCGACTTCGAGATCAGTGAGCGACGGGGCCTGAGGGGGGGGGAATTAATTTATCTCTCCTTGTATTCTAATTAAAGCTCTCAACGAAAGGAACCGTTTTCTACCAACTACTGCTCTTCTTTCTGTCTTCTTATCAAAGTACGGGTGGAGGGGGGTGAGGAGTGGCACTAGTTTTGTCCTTCGTGGTACTCTAATGAAAGGTCTCAACGAAAGGAATTCATTTATACCAACCATAGCCCTCCTCTTCCACCTCTTATCGTGATCGGGTATATTCGATTATAACTCAAGAACGGATTGTCGGAAGACGGTACTTACAAAAGGCGATTGGGACGTCTGCAAGAAATATATCCATTGGTGATGTCAAAACAAAATCTATTTCGGTTAAAAAAAATGCGCTTTATCTGCCCAGCAGTTGTGCACAATTTATACTTGTTTGACATATGAGACCATTTGAGCTTTAACGAATTTCTCAAAGTAAAACGAATTTATAAATCGTCAAAGATGTTAGAAAACTAAGTTAACGTAACGTACGCCAGGAAATTCTGTCGCGAACGCAAGGAAAAGCAAACAATACCGAAATCTGCTAAGTATAAGATCAATAAGCCTGGGAACAGAAAGAAATATAAGAAGAGTTCATAATTCAGCTTTTGATTTGGGTACGCGACGGCGACGTTCAAATAAAAGTAGCAAATCAAGCGCCGATTGCCATACGCGAGCGCTTTGATGTTTTTATGCTTTGTGAAAAGCAAAGTGGCAGCATTTTTTCATTGGCGCTGATGATTATCCTAATTTATAGCAATCATGTACAGTAAAAGAGTTTCTCAGTAGTATTCGTTCAATAAAAATTGGAATTAGGTCTTCCTGGTAATTTTAAAAACATCTAATTCCATCCTCCACTATGCAGGATATTCAGTAGGTACCTAGTAAAGATATCGTCGAAGCTTAAACTAAAATTAAGAATTAAACCAAACATAACTTGTCCCAAAGTTGTATCCCTGCGGAGTTACCTCTCTTAAATATTAATTCGCTAACCTAACTAATACAAATGCAATGATCTTAGATATGTGGTACAGGAACAATTTTTCTTCGTGTCTTCTTTCACAATAAACTGGATTCACAGGGGCGCTACAATAGTCACTGCGCGCACTCTGTCCCTAAAAATACTAAATAAAAGTGCTGACTTCTATTTGTCACTGCCTTCAATTATAAAAAAAACTCTGTGACAGCTAATCGCGATATCGATCCTTGAAACAAACGTCGCCCAATCGATAAAACAGAACGTTAAAGTTCTAAAACTTTGACGTGCTCTGTATATTAAAAAGTTCGACAACGTAAGCAGACCTAAGTTCAGTTAAGTAAGATGTCAAGTAACCGTTTTGACATGTAGGCTAAAGTTTTTTTCTCATTTTGTTTTTTTGATATTATTTATCTTTTGTACAAATAAAGCAATAGTTTTTATAGTTTGCGGGTTTTGATTATTTATTACCGTGTGAGTGTAATAAACTCACTAGGTTATGGAATGCAATTAGATAATAAGATAATAATCAGTGAGAATAAAAATAAAGTGTATAACTGTGTTCTGTTCGAGCTTGTACCGAATGTGTAGGAACGTGGGATACGTGACGCTAATAAACCCCCCAGGTATGATCATGAAATTAATAAAAATGGCTACATGCCACTTTAATTAAGCGTTTTCAACAACAAAAATTGCGGGAGAAGTCCAAAATTTTTTACAATCTTAATTTCGTCAAAATTTGGGGTTATGTTACTTATATTTCGTCATTCTCAAGTTGGCGAAACTGAAAAATCTGTCGCGAGTGACAGGTAATTTTTGTAAGACTAAGATGTTATGTTAACTTCTTTGTTTACTAAATTGAAATATGCTGGGTTTAACGTGTATATTAATAGTATAATAGGTATAATACAATTTTAGCTTCAGTTCGACTTATACATCTTAATAAAACCACTTTTTGAAGCGCATACAGCCCAAACTTTACATACCAATTTCAGTCCGGACTGAAAAGACCGTTATTGTCGGTCTGGTCCGAAGTTATAGGTACACCTATATTTATCAGTCGTAGACTCTGCGAAAGCCTCACGTGCACGATCAAATTCTCATCGATTAGTAAAAATTCAATCGTGCAAAATAACTCAATTTTTGTATTTTGGATGGGAGTTTCTTACGCGAATTGACTAGTAGAACAAATCTGCGTCTTGCCAAAGTTCTTTTTAAATTGATTTCAATTTGAAATTGTTCTCAATATTGTTCTTTTAAAAGACATAAGTGTTCTTTTGTTTCAGATATATTTTTTTAGCCATCTACACGGCCGAAATGATTATAAAAAGTATATCCAAAGGATTTATATTAAACAAATATACGTATCTACGCAATCCTTGGAACTGGTTGGATTTCGTCGTGATAACAAGCGGATATGCTACGATAGGAATGGAAGTGGGGAATCTCGCCGGATTACGTACATTTCGTGTTTTACGTGCCCTAAAAACCATCTCAATATTACCAGGTAAGATGCATATTTAAGTATAGAAATACATTGTTCCCAAAAAAAGGGATTTATTTTAATCCTTACGTATGTCGGACTCTTAATGGAAACAGGCAATAGCGTGGATGTATCGATTACCTAAATATTGAATAACGCTCTTTTGCCCATTGAATCCCTTTCTAATTTTCTCACTGCGAAAAGTCTGACAAAACAAAATGCTGAAAATATATCAAAGGTGTAATGGGTTTTCTTTCGAGAATATATAGATTTCGTTTCATGAAAAAGTTAAGAACGTGTTTAAAGTTAAAAGGTAGGTTAATAAGTTAAAAACTGTTGGACGAAATTTTGTAAACATGTCTTTTTCACAGTTATGACCGAATTTCAGGCAGTTTCCGACTAATTAATGTCGTATAATTCCGTTTCTTTTGTTATTTTATTATTGCGGCGATGTTACCGAAAAATTGGGGAGGAGGGGGACTCAAAAGGAAAGCGGAGGTTTCAAAAGTCAATAAGTGTGGTCTTACATCGTTCCTTAGTTATTCTTATTATACAGGGTGTTCGTAAATAGTAGAAAATGGGCTTCTGAAAAACAATCCCTTGAGATTCTCAGTACCATAGCTGCATGGTATTTTATGAATTTTGCGTACTCATTTACCACACTATACTTCAAAAAATTCAAAGCAATACAATTTTTATTATTATTTTAACGCCACATTTTCTAATCACAATTACTTCTAGTTACTAACATTTAAATCACTGGTAAATGAGTTGCTCATGTTAACACTTGAAAGTAACGACTCTGACAGAGCAGGTAGAAGTTATCAATGCAGATGAGGACGCTATCGAGGATGTACAAGGATCATTTGATTCAAAAATATTACCAGTAATATTATAAGATACTTCTATTTTTCCTTGGAGAGACTCATCGGCGTATTCTTCCACTATCATCGACTATAACAATGATTCGTAAAATACTTGTCAATTTCGCAGTCTATTGGTTAACGATTAAAGGTGCAGCATTAGTATTAGCACCATTTTGTTGGCGTGTTAGAAAATTAAAAAAAGGAGTAGGAAGCGTCCAGGGGAATTTTAGGGAGGGCATTAAGCGTGAAGCTGTCAACGAGGATGGTACGTTTTTCGATTTCTCGAACTTATTATGTGGGTGAAATAGTCCGTTTAAAAAAATTAGGTCACGACGACGCGATAAGGAAGAAATAGTACATTATATATCAAGGTAGAGAAGTCCACTATTATTGCCTGAGCACCAAGATTACATCTCGAGGCGCTTGCGCCGAGGGGTGTAAGGTGCGAAGTAATAGACTTCTCTACCGTGGTATATATACTATTTTTTTCACTACTAGCACTTGAAATCCTCTAAATTAACATATTATATTGATAAGAGAGTTAACGGTTGGACAGAATTGTTTGTTTCTTAATTTAACATGTCAATCAAGTACGTGGAAGTACAAGTCAAACAGGCCGTATTTTGTTCTGTCATTGAGATTTTTCAAAGAGTAATTTCGTTCGAATTTTTTCAAAATGTGATAATTTTAGGTATGTAATTTCTCTGGAAATTGCGAATGGTGGCAATTATTCGTTTTAGAGAACTTGTCTAAACGTTCATTGAGCGAAATTTCGGGTTGTGTTTTCTAAAAGTGACAGCGTGACAGTTCTCATTATTGACTACTAGTTAATAATAAAAAATTATTAACCACTTTGAACAAATGCCGAGAAAGCCTACTTTACAAGTGGAAAAAAGGTTAATAATCATGTCATCAGACGCTAGTAGTGGAAAATTTATTACGCGGTAGACCGGACATGTATGGAAAACGCGAGGAGAAAAGTTAATTACATCACGAACAAACACGTGTTATATAAATTTGTCTCGAACCAGAGAAGTTAAACCAGTTAGCTGTCCAAATCATTGCAAAAAATCGCGCGTGTAGCCAGTAGTTACGTTCGTGTAAGGAAAGAATTTTCTGGTGTAAAAAAAAGGCAAAATCCTCCCAGTTGGCACTGGAGAAATCTTTTTGTAAATTACAGTGGAAGGAGTAATCGGTGGTGGGCTGCAGTTGGTTCGGACAAGCAATGGAAGGTGATCGGAGGTGATTGTGGCGCCTAGGAAGCAGTTGAGGTTGATCTGGCGGAAAAGAGGTTCGGTGAAAATAATATGCTCAACAATAGAAGTAGCGTGGTGTGATACGAAAGTTGGAGTAGTGCACGACAGACAAACAGAGTTATTAGGTGCTTGACGAGATTAAATCCGTATGGGTTGCAGGTGAAATCGTCGAACAGGGTGTTACGGGAGTTAAGTTCCCCCAACAAGACGGCGCAGCGGAGGGTGGAGATGTAGTATTAGAGTCGCCCGGAAGTGTTATCTGTGGGATTGTAAAAACTGCAAAAGTTAATAGAGATGTTTGGAAAATGGACGTTGGTAGCTACACATTTTAGATGTCGGAGGTGGGCGGGAAGAATTAATGGAGTGGAAGGAAAGCGGTCCATAACACGTGGCCCCTGTTAGATTTTGTAGCCTCTTAAAGAGATGATGGTGTTAGGAGCTAGTTTGGTTTAAGTTATCTTACACCATCAACAATCAATTTCCTTCGCGAGTATCCTCTTCCAACACCTCGTTCTAGATATATTCTCCCTTGAGGTGTGTAAATCTTCAACAAATATATCTTGCTCGCATATTTCATTTTTCTTTTGTGAGTACCCACTTCCGACACGCTGTTCTCGCGATATTCACACTTTCACCACCGCCAACAGATACGTCTCCAGACGTTTCATTTTCCCTTTATGACACCAACTGCGGATACTCGATTCTCAAGATCTATGAATAATTGTGACAGACCACACTAGGGGGTCGGGGGAGGGGACGGAGACTGAGGGAAACAGTTTCTTCCTTTCTTTACAGTACCACAAAGGATAGACAATTCGAGTAGAACTTTATCCACAAAACTAATATGTGTATGTCAACTTATCACCACACCAATCGGCATGTCAGCATTTCTGTAACACTCTTCGGTAAAGAAATCTTGAATTCTGTTGGTTTATTGTTGCCTACTTTGTAATTATGTGTCAAAAATCAAAATACACATGGCAATTAAGTGGTTATTATGAATATATTATTAAACCCGCAAGAAGAGAGATGAAATCTGTTGAATAACTCGAGCAATAAAGTTATTCGTGCATTCTCTATTCCGTTCTTCATTTTCGCCGACATTTAATATGTTTGTAAGTACATTTCTAGTGCTTGTTGAACTTTACTTCCTTGTTGTTGGTAATTATAACTTCCTTTACGACAGAATTTCTAAGATATCAAGTGAAACCAAGCGTCGTGATGCTTGTTTCCGACGTGTTTGTATGCAACGTTATTTCACCGGTCGATAAATTACGTCTTTATTACACCCATATGTAGAACATGATGGTGTAAATTTTAAACCAAGTTTTATCTGAATTGAACACTTATCTGGTCTTTACACGCCATTTCTGTTAAGATTAAAATTCATCGTCATTAGCCGTAGGAGATGAGTAAGTACCTATTAGATAAATGTAAAGTGGAAATGCTTTTTCCCATTATTCATTAGAATGCAATCCCGTCGAAATCCCAAATAAATCTTCGGATAGTATTCTACGAGTATTAATCCTGGGGATGTGTGCAAAATTACGTTTCTTGTTCTGTTTTCGTTTTTACGATTAAACAAACTCGCGCCTGGTTCGTTTCTATTATTCATTCTCTCTCAACTGATCTATAAATTACTGAAAAACATTCGCTTTACTTCCTCCCCTTTATCATTTCACCGTTTCGATGTACGTAATCGTGTTTTATATTGGAGTGTTTTACATTAGGATCTTTTGCAGAGTTGCATAGCAAATTTTTCCATCCTTCTCAATACAATCGCAATCAAGAAACAGCACGATCCCTTACACTTTCTTAATTTAAAAGAAGGCGGAAGCTTATGTCAGTAGGTAATATCAGAATCGATCTGAATTCACTTTGAATACTGAAATTAAATTATAGCCAAAGGTGTTGAGGAGTCAATTGATAAATGCTTATACGTAGACGATTTAATGGTTTGTTGTTCTGGTAAGACGGTTGGCACAATAACTCGAAACCTACAAACGGCAATTAACATCATTTGTCATAACGCCAATGCTGTCGGGTACGTGCTGTCGGAGGAGAAGACAAAGGTTGTTCACTTTTGTCGACTCCGTAAGCCCCACTATGACCCCGTTTTGTTTATGAACAATCGTATAATCAGTGTTGTCCAAGAAGTCAAGTTCCTCGGACTTACCTTTGATAGGGAATTACGATGGTCAAAGCATTTGGAGAATGTTGCGGCTACATGTAGAAAATCGCTGAACATTATGAGAGTTCTAGCTCATCATAGGTGGGGAGCTCACCCTAAGACCCTCCTAGATATTTATAAGGCCCTCATCCTGTCAAGGATGGATTATGGATGTGCAGCGTACTCTACATGTGGCAGTAATACTTTGCTTGAGAAACTTGACAAGATTCAGAACCTGGCCATTCGCTACTCTTTGGGAGCATATCCAACAAGTCCGGTAACATCGCTCCACGTCGATGCAAATATTCCCCCTCTAGCTCTACGCCGGAAACAGATTGTTGCAAACTATTATATAAAAGTAAGGATAGATGATAAACATCCAAATTTTATATCACTTACTGATGCAACTACAATTGCTCGGCTAAATAGATGTAGATCGTTAGGTGTTAGAGCTAGAGAGGTATTAAACTGCCTCCAACTGGATAACGTTGACTTCACGAATATGTCACCTATTGCACGACGTGAACTTGTGAAGACGAAAATTTATGAGCGGTGGAGTGAACAGTGGTCGGAGACTGATACGGCTTTGAAGAGGATCAAACAGAGTCTGGATCCGCTATTTTATATCGACGTTGGGCGTTTGAACTTGATCAGGCTGTACAGACTCCGGCTGGGGCATACTGCCCTCACTCATGGATATTTGTTGGCGGGCGAAGAACGGCCACTATGCGA